AAGGCACACTGGATTAGTTCTTACTTTGCAAGGACCATCCAAAGAGATCATCACAAGGGTCTTCTTCATTCGTACCTCAGGTAGCATCGAACCTCAGGGGACCCATTCTGTTCCTGCCACAGGGACACCAAAACCCTTGTACAGGAACTGCTTAAGGCAGCAGTGTTGTGCACACACACATCTATATCTCATTGAAATCAGTAGGAATTCTGATTGAACATGAATATGACTGGGCCTCCTGTGACTGATGTGAAAGCAATTAGGCTGGTGATCATAAGCAGAGAAATGCCATTATAATGGGATTTCTGTACTACAGCCTGAATAGTGTGGCCTAGTGAGTTTTGTTTAAAGAGAACATTTCCACAGTTTTCTCACAGAAACTTGTATTCACGCCCTCGGTAAGCGAGGGGAGGGTGCGAAAACGCTGCGCGCTGCCATTTCGGGCGTCCGGCGGCCATTTTAGAACCACCGAACAGCTGATCCGCGGGCATCGCAAAGTGAAGATCGGTAAGCGAAACGCTTACCGATCGTCGCTATGTGAGTTTTGCCCATTGGAACGATCGATATGCCTCCGCATTAGCGATCCCGAAAAGGGGATCGCTATGCGGATTCGTCGTTGTATGGTGTGCTCGTTAAGTGACGCACCACTGTATCTATATCTCATTGAACTCAGTAGGAATTCTGGTTGAACATGAATATGACTGGGCCTCCCGTGACTGATGTGAAAGCAATTAGGCTGGTGATCATAAGCAGAGAAATGCCATTATAATGGGATTTCTGTACTACAGCCTGAATAGTGTGGCCTAGTGAGTTTTGTTTAAAGAGAACATTTCCACAGTTTTCTCACAGAAACTTGTATTCTAACACTAGCAAAATCCAAGCTCTGTATGACCTATGATACAGTCTAGATAGGATCTTTAATATCCGTAAAGGCCCAGCTTCAGACTCCCGCTGCCTCAAGTCTTTATTGTTTCTTCTCTGATAACAAAAGGACGGTGAATAATAATTTGAAGTCTTGCTGCAGCATGGTTTCCATTTCCTATTCAGCCTTACAGACTTATCAGATGAAATCTACTCCGTTTGCTTTTACCAAACAAACCCACGTCAGCAATGCAGCGTGGCAGGCCAAAAATGGCATTAGATGGCTGGACAGCTCATAGCCTTAAGTAACAACCTTACATCATAATCTGATACTGTATATAATGAAAAACTAAATATTTTTTTCTGGAAACAACTGAACTTCAGTGGTTAGTAAGTGCAATATATGAACATTTAAACATGTATCACTGGAGGTGGAAGTGATGAGAGATCTTGCCTCAGTGGGCATCATGCTACTGTGAATCATACTGTGTGCATCAAAACTGTGCACTGCAGCCCCTTCCTTTCAGAGGCATTGCAAATTAGACAGTCAAGCTTTTTCATGGTTTCTTTAACAAGAAGTCTTTTATCAGCAAACCTTTGGACTTTTTTGAAAGTGCCAACAAGTATGTCATCAGTACTTCTTTTAGCCAGAAAGGACCACAAGGCCATTATGCTGTTGTAAAGCTAAAGATACTTCTTGGTAAGAAGAGCATTGCTGCAAAGACTAGAAAGTGATCACACATTCATATATGTTGGCTAAAATCTAGTTGGAAGTCCCAACTAGAGTAGGCCCATTGAGCCAATGGAACCTATTGGGGAGTTGACTCACCAAATACCCTGTGATCCACTGGGCCTGCACTAGCTGTGACATACTACTGAATCCTAGCCATTTTGCATGGACCCTTTAATAAATAATTTACAGGCCAAAATCTTGTTGGTGTAAATTTATGCTGGTGGAAGCTGATTACACAGCTGACACCAATAAAATGTAATTTAAACTAATTAAATTAATTTCCTATTCCACCTTTTTTAAGGTTTAGAGACACCATAGAGCTCCTTTTGCCTTTGAATGAGTTGCAGAAGACTTTATTTGCCAAAAACTGCCACTGACAATCTGGCAGTGATCCAATGGCAATTTAAAGCCCCCTACTCCAATTCCCAAAGCTCTCAAAGGCTTCCCCAAAGCAAAAGGGAGTCTTAAGGAGCTTTGGAATCTAAAACAAGGGAATAGGATGCTTTAAATTCATTTGAATTAAATTTCACCCATGCCAGCTGGTGACATTATCAATTTCCACCAGCATATTTTTTTACTGTCATGCTGAGGCACGTATTTGGAACTGCAACAGAAGGTTTCTATCTCCAGACTAGATCAGATGGAAAGCTCTTTACTCTCTTTAGATTGAGAGCAAAGACCAAAGTCCAGCGGGACCTCCTCTTCACCGATGATGCAGATGTTGCCCATTCTGCTGAAGACCTCCAACAACTTATGAATCGTTTTAGTAAGGCCTGCCAAGATTTTGGACTAACAATCATCCTGAAGAAAACACAAGTCATGGGTCAGGGCATGGATTCACTTCCCTCTATTACCATCTCTACACAAGAATTGGAGGTTGTTCATGACTTTGTGTACCTTGGCTCAATGATCTCTGATACCCTCTCTCTAGATGTCGAGCTGGATAAACGCATTGGCAAAGCAGCTACCATGTTCTCTAGACTCACAAAGAGAGTATGGCTTAATAAGAAGCTGACGGCATATACCAAGATCCAGGTCTATAGAGCCCATGTCCTGAGTACACTCCTGTACTGCAGTAAGTCCTGGACCCTTTGTGCACAGCAGGAGAGGAAGCTGAACACGTTCCATATGCATTGTCTCTGACACATTTTGGTATCATCTGGCATGACAAAATTCCAAATAGAGTAGTTCTAGGACGAGCTGGAATTTTTAGCATGTATACATTACCGAAACATCAACGTCCATGTTGGCTTGGGCATATTGTGAGAATGGCTGACGGTCAGATTCTGAAAGATCTCCTGTATGGAGAATTAGGGCAGGGAAATTGTCCCAGAGGGAGACCACAGCTGCGCTACAAGGTTATCTGCAAGTGGGATCTGAAGGCCATAGGAATGGACCTCAACAGATCAGAAACTTTCACATCTGAGCATTCAGCCTGGAGGTAGGTGCTGCATCATGGCCTCTTCCAATTTGAAGATACACTTGTTCAGCAGGCCGAGGCAAAGAGGCAGTCCTGAAACCAGTATAATCAGAGAGCTGGACAGGGTACAGATTGCATTTGTCTTCAGTGTGGAAGGGATTGTCACTCTCAAATTTGCTTTCTCAGCCACACTAGACGTTGTTCCAAGACGTCTATTCAGAGCACATTACCATAATCTCTCGAGATTGAAGCATGCCTACGCACAAATTTATGCAATAGGATTTTGGCCATTAACTCTGTATTCAGCTATCTCCCATGAAACCATAGCCTCTTTATTTATTATCTACCATAGAGCTGTCAAAGGGTATGACTGCACAGTGGGAAAAATGTGAATAGACCACTGTGAAGTCATACCTGAGAAGTTAGGTTTCACTTCACAGGTGTCAGCAGAGAAGGGGTGAAATTAACCTTGTTTGCAGCTTGTTAACCATTTGAATCTTCTCACCATGTGCATGGATCTGCTTGTTTCCGTCTTCTCTTCCCCTTAATTTCATTTCATTTTTTTCTTTTCTTTTAAAAGTTTGCTGTCCTAGTGTTAGTACAGCTGGATGACTAAAATGGAGATCAGAGCAAGGAATTGGAAGAGAGACTGGAGGACGTTTTCATCTTGTTAAAGTAGTTCTGCTCTAGCCATCCATATTTGCAGGAGGAATAGTAAGATCAGAGCTAACTTAAAATTTCTTCCTCTGCTGCCAATTCTTTACTCTCCTACACAAACACCTTTGGTTGTCTACCTACCCAACCCCTAGATTACCAAACCTTGAAAAGAAACAAAGACAGGGAACAGGAAGGGAAGATGAAAGCAGATCCAGACACCAGGTGTGGGGAGGAAAGAATTCAAAGAGCAACCAGTTTCCCTGTTAACCTGCCTTTCTCATAGCTTCTGTTGCCGGCTGGAAGGACTCTGAATAAAACAGTTACAAGGTCTTTCACATAAGCTCAAGTGATCACACTGCCTGAACCAATTCAAATGCATTTTATTCCACAAAGGAGAAGCCACAGTGGTGGAACAAATGCTGCAGGCAGATTTTCATTGATTTTTATGTCGTGTGGTCAACAGAAAATAATGTGAATCAGACTGTACCAATCCTGGTGTATTTTCTGTTTTGTCAATATAGTCATTCCTCAGTTCAGCAACAGAAAACATATTGGCCTCCAACTGTTGATAGACTACTGCCACCTATTGGGCATCCCATCTAGGGCTGATGAGAGTTGTAGCTCAGGGGAAGGCCCGCACATTCTCGCTTCTGGTCTAATTACTGACTTTTCAGAGCAGTTCTGAGAGTCCTCCTTCAGGTAAACATCTTATAAACAGACTAAGATACACTAATTGTTCCCAGATGAACCACCAATTTTTGCCAAAATTCTTCAGATTCCGAATACCTTATTGTATAAAAGAATATATAATTTCTAGGGAAGCAGCCGTGTTGGTCAGTTGGGGCAAGGAAGAGTCATGTGGCACCTTAAAGACTAGCAAGTTTTAAGTTTTATTTGGCATAATCTTCCTTGGACGGTAGACCACTTCATCAGATGCAGAGACAAAAGGAACATTTCTACATAGCTCTCCAACCTCCTGGATATGGAATCCTTCCCACGCCTCCAATTCTTCTTTCCCTTCTCCTCATTGGCTATTCAAACAACAGAAAGTTAGAGAAGAAAGATGGCGTTGTAGAGGTCTGGCCATTGTTCTTTTCGTGAGTTTACCGCGCCATTTCTATTGGCAGCTGGGAGTTGCAGTTTCTAATTGAAACTACCGAGGGCGGAGTCTAGTGGCCCAAGGCCACCGTAGCGTCATTTAGGTGCGCCGCAAGGGGTAGGTGGGACGAGAAAAGGAAAACACCCTAGGAAAGAACAAATGGGGACGGCGGCTGCCGTGGGTCAGACCAAGTAGGAAGCGTAGCGCCATAGGTAACGCGTACATAGAGCTGTCAACTTTCCGCTGAGTCTGGGGAGGGGGTGGGTGGGCGGCGGCGGCAAGTAAAACGGGAAATCGGCCCCGAAAGGAGCAGCGCGCGCGGAGACTCAACTGTCACAGTCAAGGGCCCGCCTTCCGTCGTTCTGAGGCTCCCGCGAGGGAAGACTCGCTTCGGCGCTGAACCGTCCGTTTAGTCACATAGATGCATACACTGTTGTGGCACAGCCCGGTCCTAGGCAGGTCTACTCTGAGGGAAATCCCATTGCGTTCAACGGCGCTTTCGTCCGGTTTCTGGGGGCGGCGGGCTGTTGTATAAAGACACTTGTTGCGGCGTCAGCTGCAGCTGCCCTTCTCCTCAGCGCCCCAAGGCGCCTTGCCAGTGCGGGGTGGCCGGGCTGTAAGCAGACCTGCCGGGCTCCTTCGGAGTGCGGGCACCGCGGGGGTCTCTGGCCGTGCCTTCCCCACCTCCCAGGGGGAAGGAAGGAAGGAGTCTTCGCTTTCCTAACATCGGCCTCACGTCGCCTGTGCACGGGGTGGCGTGGCCCAGTTGCCACATGGACTGAACTGGTTGTGAGCGGGGCTTTGAAGAAGGGCCCTCTTCGATCTTGTTGGGTACGGTAGCTTTGGGCCCCTCGAGGGTGGCTGCTGCCTGGCTGCTGATCCACCGTATGCACGCAAGTCACCGAGGAATTGTGGTTTCCCCCCTCACAGAAATACACTGACGGCCAACAATAAAAAAGGGACACCCGTTTATATTTGCGTGTAAGCGGGTTTGATGTCCTTTTTTTTTTCCTTTTGTGGGATAAATTTTTGCTAATCGTTATTTCTGCATCATATTGTAGTGCAGTTGCCTGTTTTGTCGTCAGTGGTATCTTACATGCCTTTGTAAGAGGTCAGAACCACATATATTTGGAACTTTAGCCTTAGCTTGTATAATGTCAACAATGGAACTACTGTACATCATATACTTTAAAGCCTTTATATGAAATGAAATCTTACTTCTTGTTTTGTTGATAAGGGAGGATAATTTCTTACAATGAAATTTTGTTAACTAAATTTAAGCAAGAAGTGGTCACAAAGACCAACAAAACCAATTACTGTATCTTCTGACATGTTGCTTAAGTTTGCAACATGCTGGCTGTCTCTAGGGGAGAATTGAGACTTGTTGCCTAACCTTGTTTTAAAAAAATACTTAGAGGGCAGTTTTAAATATTGAAGGCTTAGGCTGTTACTTATACTGTAGTGTGTTACCATTAAGTTCTTTCTCCTTTATATGCTACAGTACTGATTTGATAAATGGAAGAAGGAAGATATGGGATTACAGAATAAACTTGCTTTATAGTTCCAACTCTTAACTGCATTGAATTAGTGGGATTTTCGTAAATATAAATGCAGCTAGGCCCCTTCATTCAGTGAGACTTGGTTATTTGAGACAGACAATTGAACCAGATCCTTGTATTGTTTTCTCTGGCTGTGGAACAAGATGCCTGGAGTTCAGTTCCACACAATACCTCTTCCTTTAGAAAAGCTGTGTGTTGAGTTTTGTGATACTTCTACTTAGATCATGTAGTTTTACTGATGTATATGTATTGCACCTGGGGACTCCACAGTGGATAGTAGGTTATAAATGTATGTAATAAATGTGACCTGTTTAATTTATTTCAGATCCAGCATGTCTAAAATAGGGGCTTTTCGTGTGGGACTTGGTGTGATTTTGGGAACAGCTGCAGGAATAGGTCTCTTCTATTACTACTACTACAAACAAAAGAGGAAAAAGACTTGGCGTAAAGATAGTTTTAGATCTCCAAATATTCGAAGTCAACAGAATGCACTGAACCCTCAAGAACATAGAGAAATTCTTCAGCCTTATAATCAAGGTATGATAATGATGAAGAAACTTGAGATCTTACTTTTCCACATTAAATGCAAAATTCACTTACCAGTATTTTCAGTTGTTCACTTGAGTCCGAGGTAGTGTGGTCTACAGAGAGTACATGTTATGTCTTTCTAAACAGTGTTTAGAATTCTTTTGGTTTGTTTCTGAAATCACTTTTTATTTTAGTTAGAATTATCTTGCCAACATCACCAAAGAAGGATATATTGAAAAATTTGACTTTTTTGCTAATTAACAAGTGTCAAGAGCTGCCTTTCACAACACATTAACTTGAATGCATGGAAAGGAAGAGGTACTCTTACACACAACAGTTTGTGTTTCCAATGCCTGTGGCTTCCATCCAGTGTTATACAAGTGAACATCAGCTAGTTCCAGTGATTCCCCAACACCCTAGAGCAGATGTATTGTTAGGATGTATTGTAAGGAGAAATCTGTTCCATGCATGGTGTCTGTTTTGATAGTAGATGGGTATGTTTGATTTTACTTTTTGTGTTCAGTATAATATGCATATAAATGCTTAATGTGTATGTCCATATCAAGTGCTCTTGTGTACTTTGAAACCTGGAGGGTACCTGCATGTGTTATTCAGAATGTGTGGAGGCCCCAGACTACTTACCTGGAGTTATTGCTTGCAAATTCTAAATTGCATGGAGAACCTATGTTCTTGTAAGAGGCTTTCCAATTCACATGGTCCAGGTTCTGCAGGTAGAGACCAACAAAATTTGATGACAAAGATGATGAAGGTAGTGTGACATGATGAGGCATGCACAGGACTATTTTTGATATCAAAATAAAAGGCAATTTTATTGTGGTCTTTGATTCTCTAGAAAAAAGGTAAATCAGTTTTGGTTTCTGTCACATTTTTAAACTCAAATTCTCCTGAACTTATTAAAATATTTTTAATATTCTTTTAAAAAAGAAAAACTAAATTCTCTTACTATTTGGATTAGCTAAATTTAGTAGGAACATCTATTCCCACTGTGGAAATGATATCGTTGAATCTGCCTGCCAGCCAGGTTACTCTTAAAGATGAATAGCCTGTCAGAAGGAGACCCAAATAGAACATCCCATCCTGGTTGATGACATAGTGATTTTAAGAATACAGCGCCTTTGTATGGAATCTGGAAATTTTGGTTTCTTCATTGTTGAACTTTCTTTTCTGCTTGAATGTATAGACCTGTGGATTTTAAGGTAAATCAAAGGTAAACAAGAGCCAAACAAAGTTTTCATCCTTGCTTAGTTTAAACATTCAGACATGAAAATCTGGCAACAGTCTTGTGCTCTGTAAATGAACCAAACTTCTTATTCTTTTACCTTCCCACTCTAGTCCCATGGATAAGACCAGTACCAATGGAAGGTGGTGATAATGACCCATGTACAGCTCTTCTAACACGTGAAGAACAGGCTGAAGTGCTGAATCGTTTGGACTTTGTACTCAGAAGCCTAAAAGAGTTGCGAAATGAAGTGGAAGAGCTACGAAATAGCCTGCAGGGTTTAGCTGGAGAGATTATTGGAGAAGTCCGGTTGGTATAACACTATTTTCTGTGACATCTAAATTGCCATCAGTCTTTCATTTAGAGACAGAATGGGTCTTGCCAGTAGCTTATCTTGTGTATAATCACAACTAGTGGTGATTTTTTTTCCCCTGAGGAGTGATCTGGTAGAGAAGTTGGTTTGGGGTGGAGAGAACACTGTGAAGGCAAACAATATTTATCAGATTCTCACAGGAGAATTATGGATACTTCCTGTCACTATTTTGAACTCTTTCCTCCTTGTTTAAGTGGTGAAAGAAAAACATAAAACCTACCTTTTTGATTCTGATTTGGAGGGAACTGTAAGAAGCAGTAAGCATAGTTGACTCGGTTTGAATAACACCCCTCCATCCCACTTTGAATAGTGTAGCAAATATAAGGTCCAGCTCAATTTGTGAAAGTTCGAATTTTGAGGAGAAGTTAAAGGCACATGAATGAATTATTTCCACACAGCCACCCAAAAGTATAGTGGAGGTGATTTGAAATTTAAATTGAAAGGCCTCTGAAATATTTAGTGATGATTTTAATGGTACAGTGGTGAGGTGGAGGAACTTGTTGTGGAGCCAGAGATCATGTATAAATCCCCTAAGTTGAAGAGTAAACTTGTGTAGCTTGAGATGAGCTGCAAGATCCCAAGGCACTACCAACAAGAGGAACTGGTAAATCACATAGTACTTATAACTAGAAACTCCTGGAAAGGGTTGCTGTATATTGGAATCAAATTGCTGTTGTTGAATAATTTTACTATTGTTTGTAAGCAGATTGCACTATTCTTGAACTGGTAGCTTCTGAGAAGTTGTGATCCTTAATATTTTAGGTATACATTATTTATCTTGTATTTTTATGGAAGCTGGCTTGCAACGGCTTTCCTAAAAGACAGCCAAAAATCAGCAAATCATGGCTGCTACGTGTAACCTCCAAGGGACCAAGTATGATTCCCCTGGCACCCTCACACTTGAATTTAAAAGTATTTTTTAAAATGCATATAAATTGCAAACATTGTCTCACAGAACTCCCAGATGTGTAATATTGCAGTGTTTTTAGAAGCCCCAACACCCTGCCCCAGCTTAAATTGTTTAAAAAACTGGCCATCAGAAATTGCAAGGGGGCTTCAGTAGAAAAAATGTAACACTTTTTTTTAAAAGGTGGGAACAATAGTAACGGAATTGCCCAAGAGGGCTCTGGACCGCTGGAGATCACCCATATTTGCTATAAAGTGAAGGAGACAGCTGGCATGTGTGAAGGCAGTAGGAGCAAACTAGATTTGCCTGAGATGGCTCAATTCTGTGTAAACCAGCATTCCTGCATGAACAAAAGCAAGTGTTGGCATTGCAAGAACGATACAGTACTTATAAACAATTGTATAAATACTAGACAGATCTGCAGCCTACGGCTTGAGAGATCTGGTGGTTTTTTGAGTAAAACTCCCAGAAGCCATTACCCAGCATTCTGGGAGCCAGAGTCCTGAGAAGTAATGTCTAGACTTGTTCTTAAAAATTTTTTATTTCTAATGCATTCTTTTTCTTTAGTTATGCTCAAAGTGAACGGTCAGACTGTTTTTTGTGATAAACAGTGTTCCCCTTTTGGATTGGTTCACTTCGTGTCTAGTAGCAATACTTTTTGTAAGTTAGTCAATGTTAACTATTGCTTCCAGTCAGAAGATCACTAATAGAAGGAAATTTATTGTACAGACTAAAAAAAATAGCAAACATTTGGGCTGAAATCCTGTTGCTTAGTATAAGTCACACTAGAATGGGCCTATGGAATGAATGAGGATTTGGTAAGCAGGGTGGATGAACATCAACGATTTAAAAAAATTGATTTAAATCACAATTTAAATTTAAGAAATTGGATTTTAAAATGTAATTTGTCAAAAATTCAGATTTTAAAAAAATTAATTATGATTTAAATCAATTTTATTTAATTCTAATGCACCCTGTTCGTTAGTCAACTCCTCTGTATATTTTGTTGATGCCTATTCTAATTGCAACATAAGTAGTGTTAGGTCCATTTGAAGAGGAGTTGACTCACTAAATCCCCACTCATTCAGTAGGCCTATTCTAGTGTGACTTACTACAAAAGGCAACAGGATTTCAGCCTGCATATTGTAGAAAAAGCAACTGAAAAATGCTGTTGGGTTGGAACTTTCTGAAAATCAGTATTAATAGTGGTAGTTATGAAAGAGAATCATCAGTAGGAGACAATTGGACTCATGCCACAGTTGTATCAGCACCTGGGAGTAAGTCCCAATGAATTATTTCTGACTAGGTAGGACTTGAATTAAGCTTTTTAGTGGGTAGTCCTTTGTTTCAGAAAGTGGTTTTAAATATTGTATGTTTGACCAGATATGTCTTTTACAGCTATTATTTTACAGCTATTTTTAAATTGCAAGGTCCCATGTTGTTGGTAGTTCTGAATGAATTGTTCACAGTGGCCCTTTGTAGTTGTGATAGGTGATATAGTGAAATAATTGTGTGAAAGCTTGTGAGTTTTTTACAGCTTTATATTCTGTATACGGTGTTTCCCCGAAAATAAGACCGGGTCTTATATTAATTTTTGCTCCAAAAAACGCATTAGGGCCCATTTTCAGGGGATGTTTTATTTTTTCATGTACAACAATCTACATTTATTTAAATACAGTAATTTCATCATCTTCTGGAACATTGTCATAACTCTCCAAACCCCGAATTCCAGCCTGAATTTCTTGAGACTCCCTGCAGAGATGGGGGAGTGGTGGTGGTGATGCTGGTGTTAAGGACCCCGACACAAACTGGCGTCAAACCCCTTCTGCCACAGGACCAGACCGTTTCTGTCTCATTTTGGGAACACGCTTGTTGGGGGGGGAGGAGGAAGTATGGATTCTGCTGGCCTGTGCACACAAGATGGAGTCAATCCCGGTTGCTGCACAATGAGTCCCTGGTGGAGGGTGGGGTTTCATTTAACTAGGGCTTATTTTGGGGGTAGGGCTTATATTATGAGCATCCTGAAAAATCATACTAGGGCTTATTTTCAGGTTAGAACTTATTTTCTGGGAAATAGGATAATTATTAAATTCCTGATTTATAGTGGGACTCATTCTGAACTACACTAGGTGAGATGAGGTGTTTTTTGTGATTAGGCAGGAACAAGTAATGACGGTGTAAGGTGTCATGCTAATCTTGTACCTTCCAGGTCTCATATAGAAGAAAGCCAGAAGGTTGTTCGGCGGAGGCGTTTTGGATATCCCAGAGAAAGAAGTGATTCCACAGGATCAAGTTCCATATACTTCACAGCCAGTTTGGGAACAGCTAATACTGATGATGGTGAAAGCGAAGGAGGGTAAGCAACCAATGCTTTCAAAGACTTCAGATACTTTCAGAGAAAAGATTTCAAGTAAATGATTACTTATAACAACACTAATAGGACTTTCCAGGTAAGTGAGATACTTAAGAAATGGTTTTATTAGATCTACATGCCCAGTGAATTTCCATGACTGAGTGGGGATTTGAATCCAGGCCATCTGAGTTCTAGTCAACTGCACTATCCACTACTACATCACAAGGAATATCCAGAGGATAGTTCAAAGTGATGAAATGGCAGAAGTGGTCTATGCAACCAAACTGAACAGTAGTAAAACATTTATCTTTCACTTAATAGCAAAACATCAGAGAGGAAAGTTCAGGAAAAGCTATCAGAATTGACTTTCAAGATTATTTTACATATGAATATTCTGTAAATGCTGGTTGATAAAGTGATATTAATTTGTAATAGAATGATGTTATGGAGGTGCATGTGTACCAATCTGACCACTTGCAAATGATGGTAATATAAAAATTATGTAAACATGGCCTGGAGGAGAAAACCTGTGATGCCTTGGTTTTGAAGGATTTGCCCACCAGCCTCTATTTCCAAATCACCAGCATTATTTAGTTTACAAAATATCTAAAATTGTCTAAGTACTGCACTACGGTGAAAAATGACATACAACCAGTGATCAGTGTCAGTACAGTGGTGCCTCGCATTATGATCGCTTTGCTTAACGATGAAATTGCATTACGATGAACTTTTTGCGATTGCAAAACGATGTTTCCTATGGGGGAATTTCGCTTTGCGATGATCGGTTCTCTGCTTCGGGAACCGATTCTTCGCAAAACGACGATTTTTCAACAGCTGATTGGCGGTTTCAGAATGGCCACCAGGTAAATAAAATGGCTCCCTGCAGTGTTTAGGGACAGATTCCTCGCACGAGAGGCAGCGAAAATGGCCGCCCTAGGGAGGATCTTTGTTGGACGGTGAGTTGTAAGCCCATCGGAACGCATTAAACAGGTTTTAATGCGTTTCTATGGCCTTTTTATTTCGCTTTACGATGTTTTCGTTCTACAGCGATTTCGCTGGAACGAATTAACATCGTAATGCAAGGCACCACTGTATTATGTCCTATATTTTGTGCCTACTTGATCATACATTCTTTTACAATCTCATCTTGCATTTTAGTTTCAAGCAAATAATCATACATCTTCTTAATTATTTTCTCATTTGAGGCCAACAAAAGTTAATCAAATACTGTTAGTTCTGTATAGAAGCCTTCTATTTTACATTTTGTATATCTGGATTCCATTTGTGCTCTAGGCCAGTGGTCCCCAACCTTGGGCCTCCAAACGTTCTTGGACTACACCTCCCAGAAGCCTTCACAACCACCTCTGCTGACCAGGATTTCTGAGAGTTGAAGTCCAAGAACGTCTGGAGGCCCAAGGTTGGGGACCACTGCTCTAGGCCACCAGTCTAAATACAGTGATGCCTCACTTAACGGTAATTGGTTTCCAAAAAATCGCTGTTAAGCGATTTCATCGCTAAGTGAAACACGGTTTCCCATAGAAATGCATTGAAAACCAGATAATCCATTCCAATGGGAACGGATTGCCGTCCTTAAGCGAAAATCGCCATAGAAAACATCGCTAAGCGAAACATGGTTCCCCAATTGAAATGCATTGAAACCTATTCAATGCATCTCAATGGGGGGAAAAATTACAACAAATTTAAAAAGAGTCGGGACAAAGTCAAATTAGTTTAACAAAGGGTTTATTAAGTGCACTTATGATTTCCAGCATTCTAAACATTTTTAAACATTTTTAAACATTTAAAAAACAGCCAACATGAGGCTGTCAAAACCATTGTTAAGCGAAACAGGGGGACCCAAACTGTCATCGCTATACGAAGCATGGTCCCAAACATCGCTATGCGAAAATCGCCCATAGGAACCATCATTAAACGGAGCGCAAGATCGCTCCAAAAAAGTCATCGCTAAGCAATTTCATCGTTAAACGAAGCAATTGCTAAGTGAGGCACCACTGTATATATTTTGCACCTCTAACTCTTCTTTAGACCTTAAATCACAATCCTTTTCAAATAAATCTTGATATCTTACCAATTTCATTTCTGTCCTAAGATTGGGTTGTGTAAAGGCCTCTATAGGTGATACCTAAGTTGGTATTTTTTGTATATCTGTTGTGCAATCTTTTTCCAGTTTCATAGTAGGGCTCTTCTTATCATGTGAGTATTGAAACTTTTATATTCTTTATCTTTTTTATACCATAAAGAAGCATGGCATCCTAACTGCAGATCATGACCTCCTAAATTAAGTAGCCTATCATTATCAAGGGTTATCCTTTCCTTTACCCAAACTAATACACAGGCTCTATAATATAACATCCAGTCCGGAAGACCAAAACCTGCTCTTTGGTTGGCATCTTGCATTGCTTTGATTTTGATTCTTGGTTTTTTACCTTACCAGACGAATCTCATTAAGTTCTTGGAAGAAAGACTGTTTTAATACCACTGGAATTGTCTTAAATAAGAATAAAATTTAGGGTAGAATGTTCATTTTGATGGTTGTTGTTTTTCCCATCAGTGATAGCTATAGTTTATCCCATCTCTCCAAGCTTGTCTGTATCTCTTTAATCAGTTTCATATAATTGTCTTTGAATAGCGTATTTGTTTTTTGTGATTTGAATTCCTAAGTATCTGACTCTCTTCTCTTTTTGAAAGTTGGTCCTTTCTATTATTTTCGATAGTTCTTGATCTCTCATACAGTATTTTTAAAAAGTATTTTTGTTCTCTTTTGATTTATTTTCACTCCCGCCATGTCACCAGACTTCATCAGCATCTCCATCAAATCATCAATTGAATCCACTGGATCCTCCAATATAATAACTAGATCATCCACAAAAGCTTGCAGCTTGAAAACATGCCCTCTTTTAACCCTTTTATTTCCTTTTTAATCTCTGATTTCATCTGTTAATATTTCTAGGGTGAGAATAAATAATAATCTTTGTCCTGTCTTATTGTGTGGTTCTGATCTCACTGTTTATTTAATCAAGTTTCAATGTACTTATATTCATCAACATGTTATACATTTTCATTTTGTATTTTTAACTACATTACTTGGACTGCTTGCTTTTCTTTGGTTATCAGAAACTAGGGTTTCTTAATGCGTTTTTAAACTTTTTTTCAAATCATTACTGACTTTATTGAGCAAAACTTTATTTACTGCATTTATCAAGTGCAAGACATGCAAAAGTTCTCAGTTAGACCAGGACATTAATGAATATTGCCATTTTTAAAAATCTTTGTTACATAGAGAGGATAGTCTTACAGAAATACCATGTTCCAAGATACCCCAGGCATCTGTGGAAGCTGTACATACTCTAGCAAGATTATGAGAGGTACAAACAGACAGGTATTACACATAAGGAAGTGTATACTAATCTTTATAGATTGTCCCAGATGTCCTTGTTCCAGGTGATATAGGTAGCTATTTTGCGGTGGGGGAACTTAATTTTCACTTCATTAAAATGTGAGTAATTATTGCCTTTGAAATTTGGAATGGTTAAATAATGCAGCCATTGTCTGTATTTTTGTTGCTAAATGTGTAAGATTTGCTGGTGGTTTTCAACTGAATAGGAGGCCTTAATGTATGAACATTTTGTCCAGAACACATACAGTGTCAGTATTCTTAACAGTGAAGCTGATTAAACTAAATAAATTGCTAAGCTGAAAGTGTTCTGGATTTTTCTAGCAAGTAAGCATAAGACTGCGTGGGTGGGACAATAAAAAAAAAACCCAACATATTAGTTGTTTGGTTTTAGGATAGAAAAGTTAAAAGCTGTCCTGTCTTGATAAGTAAACAGAGCAGTTTCTTTATTGTTCTGGAAACTCAGAGCCGCTCATAATTTACAAATGAAGGCAAATAGTATTATTTTATATACTATAAGACATCTTCTAAGAAAAATTTACAATGAGTAAAATCATCTTTCAGCTTGGATTTCAGCGGGCTTTAGGGGTAGAGGGAAGAAATGAGGAGTAACACTTACCTTATCAAGATGGGATGTTTTTCAGCCAGAAGTCAGAACTTTGTTCACACTGTTGGATTTTAGAATAAGGAACAGGTTTCTTGGGTAGAGGTGATTGCAGAGCAAAAGGAGTCTGAAAGTCATCTGGTCAATGTTATTTTGGACTTCGTGAAATCACATGAGCATCTTTGGGCACAATTCATTCATTTCATTTAGAGCTAGTATCTGAGTGCCTGATTGAGGAGCCAATGAGCCAGGAGTTTGAAACCTCACTGAGTCTCCCAGCTGAGATTACCTGGAGTGTGTGTGACTCATGAGTATGTACCCTGATGCTGTGCAGCCTTAGGCAAGGTACCTGGTCCCAGAGCATCACTAGAAGCAGGGATAAGTAAACCATTTCTGAGTATTTTATACTTAGAAAACTCTGGGGAGGATTGTCTTATGTTGGAATCAATGTGATGCCATGTAATACTGGTTTTGTTTGCTGCTTTTCTCTAACTACTATGTAAATAAGAGCAGAATGAAGAGTCATAAAACTGCATCTATGCTTTATGAAAGGGTTTCTCTAGATGGCCTTTTTATGGATGGACGGTTCTTTTGAAAAGTACTTTCTTGCATAAGTTAACAAAGGGAAACCAGAAACAGTTCTCTCGTATAGCTTAGGGTAGTCAGGCCACTTATTGAGATTATCTCAGATTTCCAGTTCTGAAAAAAATAGTTCTGTCTAATAGATTGAGTCAGATTGAGAGGTTTTATATTTAATCGGTAGTGCAAGTGCTGCATGCTGTTCTTGTCTCCCCCCCCCCATTCTAACAGCAACCATGCATGGTTATCTTAGGCTAACAGTGGGAGGCAGACCTAAGGTCACCCAGTCAGCATTATGACTGAAGGGAATCTGAACTTGGACCTGCCAATTTCTCATCTGAGCAGTTAATCTTCAACTATTCCTGTACAGATTGACCAAGATCTTCCAAGTCACTAAAAAATGTATATGCACGTGTGCACAAACCATCTATTTCAAAAATGATTACTAAGATGAACTTTCTACATCTGAACTCATTATTTGCTTTATTACTGAGTGATTGTAAATAAAGCAAATAATGAGTTCAAATGTAGAAAGTTCATCTTAGTAATCAGTTTTGAAATAGATGGTTTGTGCACACGTGCATATACATTTTTTAGTGACTTGGAAGATCTTGGTCAATCTGTACAGGAATAGTTGGGTATGTGAAATAACAAATGCAGCCTAAACGTCCATATAGTTGGATATTGCTTCAGAGGTGTACCGCATGTTGGGCAGCAATATAAACTCACAGAGAGCTTTTGGTGTGAATGCTACAATTTATCAGATGTCCTGGATGGCACATTTTGTCCAATACCAGAAGTAAGGGTCCTAAAATATCTTGAGTGCATATAAAAATAGTGTATGGATGGTAATGTAGGAGTAAAAAAATACAGTAGAATATAATAGGTAAGGTATGGCTAAATAAGATTATTAGCCCAAGCTAGGAGAGACTCACTGAATAAATTGAACATATAGAAGTCAATGCTTAGATCCAGTTGATTCAGTGAGTCTGTTCTTGTTGGGACAAACAGCTGACTCTAAACCCTAGCAGCAGTAGTTGGAACCATAGTAATAAAGAATTGCAAGTGAAGTGAAAAACCTGTGAAGTAAAGATGCAGGAAGGTATAGAAAGTTAGAACTGTGTGTAAATTAAAGCACTGATCAAACACAAGTCACATCATTGGTGCCATGAGTAGCTTATAGAGAATTAGAAGGAAAGTTATCTGAAAGCAGATAATATGCAGAGTTATTGTCAGTGGGATAGCATACAGTATATTACAAGATCATCAGGATTGAACTTGAATTGTATGTTTAAATATTAATGTTACCTTTAATTATAATTATTCTAAATTATTTTTAATAATACATTCCTTCTATTTCAACTATATTTCACATTTAGCTGATAATGAGGGTGATCTTTTAAATTACTACCTGTATTTATATCTTGCCTTTCCTCCAGTGAGCACAAGATGTATGTAACTTTCCTCCCCATAATTTATTCAGAATGTAACTGGCCCAATGGTGCCCAGTAATTTTCAAGGTGAAGGTCTTCTGAGTCATAGCTCAGCACTCTTAACCACTACACCACAGTGTCTGTCACTGGCATACTGGACTATGCATTGTAGCATTGCTGCAAGAGGCAGGCGTCAGAGGAATTTTGACCTTGGGTCTGATCCACCAATTGTGTCATTTATCCCTTATTTGCTATGTTGACTGCTCTATCTGTTGCTGACATAGGAAGCTGTTGAGCAATGGTAGACAAAAAAAACCTAATCTTCTTTCAGTATTAATATTTTACTCATACGATTTTTAATCTATGAAAGCTTTTGGCTTGTGTATAGAGAATAAATTTAATGGAAAGTAAATTGGTTTACCATATATGAACGGTGTGCTGGTTAGCATTCATGTGTGCTTAGTACCAGGGTGTTGCCAAACTAGCCACTATTAGCGGCTGTACTGTTACAGTGTAAAATGTACGCATGGAGGGCATCACATTGGCAAATGTTCCCTTATAGTAACCATAGATTGAAGGGTTAACATGGTTTCCAAATCTCAGCTTATTGTTCCTGAACAAGCCAGAATTTGTAAGCTAGGAACAGATCCTTGTTTGTTCTGGCTTGAAAGAGTCTCAAGCCATTGAGAACTCTGTTTTGGAAACACAATAAGCTTCAGTTTCTTAGTTCAGTAGAGCTTGCCTAAACATGCTGTCTTCCAAATTCTTGTGTTATAATTCTCATCATATTTGGCTGTTGGCACAACTGGCTGTGGCTAATGGGATTTGTTGTCCTAGCCATTTAGAACGCTTAAGATTAGAATAGCTGAGTTAACAGGTTTTGCTAGTAGGCAATGCCAGATGGCATGAAAGGCCTTCATGCCCCAAGGTACAGTTCATTAGGTGTAAGGTAGCAGTCTCCAGAAACTTGGCTTACTACTGCCTGTAAATGTAGTCCACTGCTTTTGTGATTTTTAAAAAAATACTAAATGTACTTAGCATCATTTTAACACAAATGATGTGCTCTTCTCTGTCATGTATTAAAGTTACATTACAGCAAATGGAGAATCAGATTATGATCGAGAATCTGATAAGGAGAGTGAAGAAGGGGAAGATGAAATCAGTTGTGAGACAGTGAAGACAGGAAGGAGGGATTCCATGGACCTTGTCAATGAGGATGAAACCACCGTGACTGTGGATTCCGCAGCAGAGGAAGAACTTGGTCGGTTGCTGCAGCAAGCAGATGACTTGCACAGGGGGAATGACCAGGAGAAGAGAGAAGGATTCCAAATGCTTCTTAACAATAAACTAGTGGTAAAGTTCACTTGAGGCATTGCCCTGCAACCCTGAACTGAGCTAATCAACTGGGGCAGGGGGCTGAACAGGATGTTGTACAACTTGTCTATACCACAATTTTAAATGAAGATCAGTCATCTATGTAACTGCAACATACATTGGTGCCTTGACTTACGAACTTAATCCGTTCCAGAAGATGTTCGTAAGTCAAAAAGTTCGTAAGTCAAGCAGCATTTCCTATAGGAATGAATTGAAACCAGATTAACCTGCTCCAGCTGTTTTTTGTTCTTATGTCAAGGCACAGTTTGTAAGTACAGTAAAAGCATTAGTTCCCATAGGAACTAATGCAAAACCGGTTAATCCGTCCTCTACCACTAGGGAGAGAATTTTTCTTCTTTTAACCTAAGATGAATTTAGGTTAAAAAAAGTGCAGGAAAGGAGGGAGGGAGGGAACGAACACCTTTTAAACAGAACACATTTGAAACCAAGCATCTTTAAACCAAACCAAGCACCTTTTAAACCAATTTTTACATTTTAAAATTACAGTACCAGGCAGTTCAAAGTCCTTTTCCCGCTTTTCCTGTAGTTTTTTTGTTCATAAGTCAAAGCTCCATTCACAAGTCAAAGCAAAATTTGTGAACGGAGCTGTTCATAACTCAAAATGTTTTAGGCCAGGGTGTTTGTAAGTCAAGGCACCATTATAATTTGTTTTCTCTTAGAAAATTAAAACCCGCAGAGTTCTTGAGAGCCTTTCTTGAACAGTATTCAGTTATGTTGGGGGCACTTGCAGCTTGGGCAGTATAGACATTCATTCAATCATCTAACTTTGTTAAGTGAAATTACAACATCCTTGGAATGTGTAGTTAAACTCTCCTCAGACTCTGAATAGACAGAATTGTTTAATAAAATGTATATGCAATTTTTTTTGTATTAATATCCAGCAGAGCAGATGGTTAACTACTTACAGTTAGGTATTAAATACTCAGTGCAAGTAGTTGATTTCCATTTGTACGATTCTTCTATGAGTGATTATTAAATTATCCATTCATTAGCATATAGAGATGTGTGCTTTTAAACTCATTTTCTACAAATTGCACTTATGACAACAGTCTATTGTCCTGGCTCTGATCTATCTATTAATCCTTTGCCATGCATATTGTGCATAATGATGTGTAATACAATATGTCTGGTAGATATGGTTGTAGCAATTAACCTGGTGCCTTCCTTAAACATCTTATCTAGGTACGCATGCACAGTAATTTAGCTTTTACACTGCAATAATGCAGGGATTATTCTATGTCACTGATGTTTCTGGAACAGGGAGCTTAAGGAGTGGTTCAGATTATCAATAAACTACAGCTTGTTATAGAAAAAATGCTATATGTTTACTGTACAAAACAGAAACATATGGCTATTTGGTCTGGCCCCTGTATTTAGATTATTAAACCAGAAGAAATAACTATAATGTTCTGATGCTTCAGGTCACTGAAGACATTTAAAGCGACTCCTGATTTATATGTGCAAGTTTGATGTAAAGCAATCGTTTCTGTACTGCAAAAGCAGTTTATTTGAAAATTAAACCATATGGTATCTGCTGTATGTTGTACTTGGAATTCCTATTTGTCTATAGCTTGTGGAATACAAGTGAAGAAATGTTCATTCTATCCACAGTATGGTGACAAGCAGGATTTTCTTTGGCGTCTGGCCCGAGCATATAGTGATATGTATGAAATCACAGAAGATGCAGAGGAGAAGAAGAACTATGTATCTGATGGTAAGGAACCCTTTGGAAATATGAGTGGGTTTGTGTTTGGTTTGTGTTTTTCAATATTAGTCATTTATTTGCCCAACTTGGGGGAAGTGTGTATAGTTTACACTTTCACTGTAGATTTTTCATCCCCCACGAGATGTAGTTTTGTACCTTGTGTTGAAAAATTGTTTAAACTGGCATCGTTAAGTATACCACCTTAAGTGCTACTGTTAAGTGCTGCTAAGCCACATTTTTGGCTTAGTAGCAGATACTAGACTTTCACCTCAAAAATGGTACAGCAAACAAAAATAGCTGCAGATGTATTGAATGCCTGTGTTAGATTCCATTTCTGATCTATGCTATTGCTACAGGCTGCTTTCCTCCTCCTAAAATTCTTGAGGTTATACTTGTCTCAAAATTTTTCATTTCCCCTTTCTACTTCTATTGTTTTCTCCTGTCTGTTAGCTCTTGATAGTATAAACATCCTTCTCTCTGCAGAAAAATAAAGCGTGTCCATTTTTGAGTTTCACTATAGACTATATCCTGGCTGCATATTGCTGTAAGCGCTGGTAGAGGAGGGCAACTGTTTCCAGGCCAGAGCTCCCTTTCTGAATATCCCTATGCAGCCTGTACCTTTCCTTACTTTTTAAACTGAATTGGAGGCTTGCTTCCTGTCTTCACTTTCCCTAATATGAGTGTGGTATCTCTACACATGTTGAAGGTGAGGTTTGTGGCCAAAGCCTCTAGCCTTGTGGAATGTGGCAGAAAACTTGCAACTTGCTTATCTCCTCTGGAAGAGCACAAGCCAAAAATGTAACAGGCTGTACAGTGGTGCCTCGACTTATGACCATCAGAAGATGGACGTAACTTGAAATGGTCGTAAGTCGAAGCACCATTTCCCATAGGAATGCATTGAAATGCAATTAATCCGTTCCGGCCAAAGAAAAAATCGCCAAAAAAAATCACTACAAGACTCATTGAAAATGTGATTAAACCCTTGTGGCCAAAGGGGGGGGGCAGAGAAAAGCAATCAAGAATGCAAGACCGATTGCAAATGCGCAGAAAACAAATGGAGCAGATTGGAAATGCACAGAGAACAAAGGGACAAGTTCTGAAATGCACAGAAAACAAAGAAAAAAGCAAGGGAAGCATGCAGGACCCATCGGAAATGGGGGAAACCCCCCAAAAAAGCAACCAAACCTCCCAAGACCCATTGGAAATGAGGGGTGGAAAAAACCAAAAACCAAGCAAACCCCCAAGACCCATCAGAAATATGGGGGGGGGACCCAAAAAATAAACAAACCCTCAAGACCCATCACAGCACAGAAACATAACCCCCCCAGCCTAAAACCACGCTGCACAAACCCCCAGAACAGTTTTTAAAAAGCAGAAAATAGAACCCTACCTTACCTAACAGGCAGTCCCAAGCCTCCCTGCAAATACACACACACACACATTGAGAAGCAGAAGCCAGGCAGTCCCTCCTCAGTCACACTCACTCTAACTGTTGGGGCAAAAGCGCTGCAAAGAATCAGCCTTGTCACCACCTACAGTTAGTAATTTGAATTTCCTGCCTTTTCCCCCTGCCTTTTTCTAGAAGTTCCGGTTGCAAGTAGAAGCAAAATTTTGTGACCAGAACTGTTCATAAGTCGAATTGGTCGTAAGTAGGGACAGTTGTAAGTCAAGGCGCCACTGTATTTCTAAGAGTATAAGAGTATTGGTGGCACTTCTTTGACCCTCTTTCTTCCATGTCATGCTAGCATTAGGTGAGTAAAATATCTCCCCTAATGTGTGAAAATTCTGTATACAGTGGTGCCTCGCTTAACAATGTTAATTGGTTCCATAAAAAAATCGTTATGTGAAAACATCGTTAAGTGAAACACCATTTCCCATAGGAATGCATTGAAAACCAGTTAATCCGTTCCAATTGGAACAAATTAATGCTTGCAATCATTAGTCCGTCCAATGCTTTTCAATGAGAGAGAAAAAAAATCACCAAAAATTAACGAAGACTCAGAACAACACCAAATAAAGTTTGCATAGGTTTCAGGAGGTGGGCTAACGATTGCAAGCATTTAAAAC